ATCTCAGTCTATGTCCTCCAAAATCAACACATGTGTCCCCTTCTGGTGGGGAGAGCACCTGCAGTGTGATATTTATTTCCCTTGTTTCCTGCCTATTGACCAGTGGCCTTTTGGCTCTGTGGCCTGGCTACATCTAAGCACCCGTTATTTGGCCTTTTCCACAAAGCCTGTCTTTGTTAATTTAAAGCACTACATCCTCACATGCATTGAGGACCAGGGTTCGACAAAACATCTCGTTCTTGCTAAAATAGGAGTGAAGTATAACCTCTATTTGGTTTTCCTAAATTATACCCACATACTTAAAAATATTGCTAAATTAACCTCAATTTTGGCATCTGGCTTCACTGCAGTCTGTTTACTGTCAGAGTTCTGAGCAGCAGGCCCCTTCCTCCTCTGATTTGGAGCTTATTTGATCTTCATTCTCAGGCTCCCTGAGAACCTATAGTGTTTGAGCCGCATTGTACAGGCGCATCCTCCATTTGAGAGTGGCAACCTGTGCTACAACAGCATAGTTCTGGCACATATGTGACCACAGCCATAACAGTATTTAGGAAAGATGAAGTTTATTCAAAGTTATTGTTACACTCTTGATGAAGGTCTTATTTGAAACCTGATATACTACCTGTACATGGTGTATGAAGTTTGCTTAGCTAGAAGCCTGGGGTTTTGCACAAGAAATAATTCTTGCTGACTTATGTGGACTTTCCTCAGGTGGCCAATTGTGTTCCAAACCAGAGTAAGATTTGCCACTTCAATAGGATCCAACATCCACAGGCAGAATTGTAACTAAAGTCTCAGATGTGCCTCTTTCTAAACAGACAAAATAACAGTTATTGCAGCTCACCTGGATTAGATAATTGCAATATCTAATGTTTGTACCAAGGTAGCTTTCCCCATCAATTTTTTCATGACTTTATATATATATATATATATATATATATGATTTAATCGTGTATATATACACGATTTTAGAGTAGTGGAAGTTGCTATTTAAATTTACTTGTAAACAAGCCAAGGCTACAGGAGTGGTAAAAATGGAGCCAAGAAACAAGGCTTGCCTATAATCTGAAATTATAAATTTCAAATAATAAGAAAATCATGAAAATCTACCCAGATAGAATTAAACTACAAAATTATTGGCACCATAAAATCTGCTGCTACTGCATTATCAGATTTCATTACTTAGATCCAAAGGACTTACTTAGATACAATTCAAAAAACAAAAAGCCTAGATGGCAAACACCATATTTTAATATATAAAATAAAAAGAATTATGCTATTTAGATACAAACAAGTTGAAACTTATAACACAGAAATGCTATCAAATTAAGTTCAAACAAGAAAAAAAATTAAATTCTCCCACGTGCTTCAGCAATTTAATTACTGTCTTTAACAAAAACTTGTGTTTCAATAACACATCTTAGTCTTTCTTTCTTATCAATGTTTAAACAAGTATCAGATAAATTTACTCCTTGATGTATTTTCTAATCATCATCCCTTTCCAAGGACATTTATTTATTTACTTTTACTTTTCCTTGTTAAGTATTCTTTCTTATTTTAATGAATCATAGTTTTCTGAAAGGATTTGGGGAAATATATTGAAGTCCTAGGAAACTCTGGAATATTTCAAAATTAATCATCTTTGTCATCCAAATAGATGCATGCAGCTTAGGTGCATTAATTGCATAGTATAATTAACAAAAGGTAGTAAGCCACACCCCTTAATAGATCACTCTAGACTTACATGAACAAGTTGATGCTGTCATATCAGAAGAGCTAATTTAGGAGGATTCTTCTCAGAGGAGATGCAGATCCAGTAATGTTGGAGGTCATCATTTTTATCATAGGTGAGTAGGTCACATTAACCTATTAATATTTAGTAATTGGTTATGACTTTTGAACTTCAGAAAACCTACCAATTAGACTACTTCCTCTATATAGTTTTACAAAATAAATTCCACTTGTTTTCTATTCTACATCTGAAGAATGAAAATGTATGTTGCTTGACACAGTCATCAGGTAAAAATCTTGTTTAAACGACCTATCAATTCAGTCAAATAAATGATTTGGCTATTCTTATTTTACTTTTTACAGAAGTGATTGATTAATCTTCCCAATCTTTGGGAAAAATATTAATAGTTTTACTGTTAAGTGAGGGCAAGAGAGGTTAGAAAAAAATATACAAAAGTAAATTATATACAATTTTCTAAATGTTCTATGATTTTAGGAGAAAAAGGAGAGGCTCTATTTATGTCTTCTAGTAGCACTGCAAAAGAAAAGAGTTTGTGATTTAAAGTAGAAATGTCATAATTTTAGCACCATTCTAAATGAAAATCTATGGAAACAGGAGAAAATTTCTAGTATTCTGAAGTTATAGTGAAGATGAAAAAGAAAATGTGCCTTTTTCTGAGTATTAAATTTTCCTATTCCTGCACTAGATAGTGTCGAGTTCTGGTTTCCATGGAATTTCATTTTAGTACTTCATTTGCAAGATGACTTAATTCCTCATTTAACTTCCCTCACATTTCTTTCCCATAGTCAGTTTGTTAGAAATTTCCCTCAGAATCCTCTTTGTATAAGTTTATAAACATTATAAGTAGTGGCAAATTGTTTCACTTATGTAATGTGAACAGGTAAATAGAAATTTTATTGAACATTATCACAGCATAGGAAAATATAACTACCTACCATACCTTTCATATACTTGAAACATTACATAATCTAAACACTATTAGCACAATGAATAAATTAGATTCGGGATGACTGTTTGGTATATTATTTTCACCTAAAATGAAAATCAATAGATATATCAATTATCTCCATTGAAAAGTTAGGAGCTCATGATCTCATATTTGGCAAAATATTTAACCACAAGTAGAAACTTCATAGCAAGAAAATACATTTTGTAAACTGGAAATTCAGGCAACTTGTCAAGTTATTGTGTAAAATCATGTAAAACTCTTTCACAGTGAAAGCAAAATTTTGCTCAAATTGCTACTTTTTTCTATCCATGTTTATTAAAATAAAAATCTGTTATCAAAACCCCATTATATTAATACTTAAATATACAACTGGAGAGAAAACAACTTATAATTGTCTTTAGAGGGAATAATTTAATAAATAAAATGCAGTATATGTTTACAAAGGAATATTATTCAGCCTTAAAAGAGAAAGAAATGCTGGCACATATTAGAACATAGATAAATGTTCAGGATATTGTGTTACATATAATAAGCCAGTCACACACACATACATACACACACACATGCAAACTGTATGACTCCACTTACCTGAAGTTCTTAGAGAGACATAAAGTGAAAAAGTTGTTGTCAAGGGCTGGGCAGAAAGGGGAATGGGGAGTTATTTAATTGGCAGACTTTCAGTCTGAGAAGATGAACAGAGTCCTGGAAAATGATGTTGGTTATGAAAGCACATTAGCATGAAAAAACTTAATGCTCCTCTGCTCAAGATACACTAAAATAAGTAAGATGGTAGCAAAAATGAAGTTATGAAACTTTCCCAAAACACTACCATTGCTAAAGTACCTATTGATCTTTAAGCTGATTTAGAGTTCTAACACTTCAACAGTAAGGAAGGTGAAAACTATGAAAAATCAGAAGCCTTCAAAACAGAGAAATGAAGAGCATTTTGAGGTCCTTGAGGAAAGTGATACTAAAGGCTATCTTTAGGGAATTTACATAGTTACTTAGGTGTACAAACTCTTAGGAGTCCTTGTTGTAGACATGAAATGCAGATCACAATGTTTTGGCAAATGCAAAGTACATTTGACAGGGAGGAAATGTGTACCTGTGATGTCTAACTTTGAAATAAACACCTAAAGTTGTCAAGCAGAATGCTACAAGTACAATGATGATACTTAAGCAATGGAGTTAAGGACTGAGCGAGGCTTCGCACTGCCTTTCTCTGTCCTTACTAGCTTCCTGTGCGGCATGGCTGCACACAGTGGGGGAGAAGGAACGACCACGGAGGATGGGGCCTCCTTCCACCTTGTCACTTCACCGTATTACATAATATCCTTGAGACTGAATTACCATCCCCATTGCTGGTCATATTTATTCAACAATGTAGAACAGTTTCATACCAACATATCAGAAATGAAATTGCCTTTAAATATATTGATTTTATTGAGACAGAAGAAGAAATTAATTTATCTTGGTTTTGGGAGAACTCAGGAGTTTTATTTTCTCTTCTTTATTCAGAAAATACTGTGTTTCTGTAACAGAGGATAAATAGTGTCATAACACAAGTGCCTTTACGCAGTTAATGAAAGAGTGCATTAAGTATCAGTCTTGCAATTCTAGAAAACATGCTCAGAAGATCATTATGCTTTTAGTGTATAACACAATAAAGTAAAACTATATGCACTAACAATTCCAAGGGAAGCTATATGCCCATCTGCAGAGATAGTCTTTCCAGTTTCTAGACCAGAGACTATATATCCTCTTGTGTGGAAGGAGAAAATGCCTTCCTTAATTAGTCAGTCAGGAAATACCTGATTTTGGTCGGTTTCGATACATTTTCATGTGTCATATATTTGTAACTTTCATTATGAAATAATTCATTTTTAATAAACATGTTTATGTTATTCAGCATCTAAGAATATTAACTATGAATGAAACAAGGAAAATACAAATATAAATGACAAATTATGTGAATAATTTCCTTCTGTTCATGTAGGTGTTGGGTAAAACAAAGATACACCACATTCTTGCAATTAATCCAGAATCTTTATTTATTATGCAAATTAATCAGTAGTAAAGTTCAGAGATAGTTATGTTGAAAAACTTGAATATGAAGTTTTACAACATTGAAATTTACTTTATGTCCAGTTAATTTTTTTGTAAGTGGCAGATGAAGTATTTGAAAAAGGTTTCATCATTTTCCAACATGTATTGTCAAGAAACATGCAATTGAAAGAAAGGACTGTGAATGATTAAACTGTATCTACTTCTCCATTTACAGTGTTACTACAACTTGAAACCATGGAAAACAGGAACGCTACCTCATACTTCATCCTCCTAGGACTCTTTAACCACTCAGGAGCCCACCTGTTTCTCTTTGTGATGACTCTGGCAGTTGCCTTCACCTCCCTCCTGGGCAACGCCCTCGTGATCCTGCTGATTCACGGAGACCCGCGGCTGCACAAGCCCATGTACTTCCTGCTGAGCCAGCTCTCCCTCATGGACATGATGCTGGTCTGCACTATTGTGCCCAAGATGGCTGCTGACTACGTGACAGGGAGAAAGTCAATCTCCCCCACTGGCTGTGGTGTACAGATATTCTTCCTCCTCACATTGGGAGGAGGTGAGTGCTTCCTCTTGGCAGCCATGTCCTATGACCGCTATGTGGCTATTTGCCATCCCCTGAGATACTCCGTCCTCATGAGCTGGCAATTATGCCTGAGAATGACCTGGGGGTCCTGGTTCCTGGGGGCAGCTGATGGGCTCCTGCAGGCTGCTGCCACCCTGAGCTTCCCATTTTGCAGAGGTCATGAGATTGAACATTTCTTCTGTGAGGCACCCGCTCTGGTGCATTTGGCTTGTGCTGACACATCTGTCTTTGAGTACACCATGTACATATGCTGTGTGTTAATGCTCCTGGTCCCGTTTTCCCTCATCCTGACCTCCTACAGTCTCATCCTGGCTGCTGTTCTCCAGATGCGTTCTGCAGAAGCCCGCAGAAAGGCTTTTAGCACATGCTCCTCACATTTGGCTGTGGTGGGACTGTTTTATGGAGCTGCCACTTTTTCCTATATGAGACCTAAATCTAATAGGTCAGCTAACCATGACAAGGTTGTGTCAGCATTTTATACTATTTTCACCCCTATGCTGAATCCTCTCATCTATAGTCTGAGGAACAGTGAGGTCAAGGGATCCTTTAGAAAGAGTTTGGGCCAGTGTGTTGCCTTAAGTCATGACTAAGATCAAATTTATTTGTCCCAAAGTTGAAGTCTGTATAAAGTAATTGTGTAAGAGTTCCTAGAAAGAAATTATATAGGCATTATAACTATAGTTGTTATTTCTCATTTAATATGAAGTGCAGACAAAAATCCCTATGTTGAGACTGTTTACTAATTGACACTAATTACTACTCTTTGACATCAAAGAGTCAAATTGTGGATTGGTGGATTGTAAAAAATCTGTACCTTCATGTACAAATCCTACATACCAAGTCACAATATTTGTTCAAAGAATCAATTAAGTAGTCAGAACTTTTTCAAGTTTGTTGACTTCTATAATTTGATGATGTATAATTTACAATCACTAGAATGCTTATATCTTAAGGCTACATTTCAATCAGTTTTAATAATATATCCACTTGTACTTTACACCCACCAGCAAGGGACACAACTCTTACCAAACCAGAAATGTTACTCATGTCCTTCCAAGTGAGACCTCTTAAACCAGACACAACCCACCATTGGCCCTATTTACATCTGTAAGTGGGTGATCAGATGAAGAAAATGTGATCTATTTAAACAAAAATTGCAGCCATGAGAAAGAAAAAAGGAAATCCTGCTCTTTGCAGCAGTGTGGATGAACCTGGTGAATGTTACGGTAATTAATATAAGCCAGACACAGAATATATATACTGTAGGATATCACTTCTCTGTGGAAACTTAAATAGCCCAAGTCAGAAGCAGAAAGTAGTGACCAAGTACTGGGAAAGTGGGGAAATGTTGGTCAAATGATACAAAATTTCAGCTATACAATAAATAATTTCTGGATATCTAATGTACAGCCTTGTGACTCTAGTCTAGTTAAAAATACTGTATTGTGTACTTAAAATAGGCTGAAAAGGTAATTTTTCCCAGCATTGTTAAGGTATATTTGGCATATGAAATTGTGAAAGCTTAAGGTGTATCAAGTGTTGATTTGATACACTTACATATTTAAAATGATCACTATTGCCTTAGCTATACCATTTCTTGTTTGTGGTGAGAAAATTTAAGATACAGTCTCTCAGAATGATCAGGTATATACTGAATTATCATTAACTAATGCCATCATGCTGTGCATTTGGTCCTCAGGACTCACTCATCTGATAACTGGTAGTTTGTATGATTTGACCCACATCTTCCCATTTTCTACAACACTAGCCTCTAGTAACCAGCATTCTATTCTCCACTTCTAGGACTTTGGCCTTTTACAGCCATATGTAAGTCATACAGTATTTGCTTTTCTCTGTCTGACATATTTTAATTAGCAAATGTTTTCAAACTTCAAGTTTTCTCAAATGACTGGATTTCTTTTTTCTCATGACTGAATTAATTATATATAATATATAGTTAATATGCATAATTTAATATATGTTTAATATATGTAATTTTAATTTTATATGGAGAGATCATCTGTATTTTATCTATATAATCTTTTCTAATCATTCATTGGCAAACACTGGTCATTTCCATATCATGGCTATTGTGCCAAATGCTGCAATGAATGTGCAAGGGATATCTTTTGGATACCCTGTTTCCATTTCCTTGGATATGTACCCAGAATTGTTATTGATGGATCAGATGGTAATTGTACTTTTAATTTTTAGAGGAACCTCCATATTGTTTTCCATCATTACTGCAACAATTTACATTCTCACCAACATTGTACAAGGGTTCCCTTTTCTCCACTTCTTACCCAACGATTGTCATCTCTTGCCTGCTTACCAGCCATTCTAACACATGTGAGGTAAAATTTCATTCTGATTTTGATTTGTACTTCCCTGATCATTAGTGATGTTGGATACCTTTCCATGTACCTTTCCATCATTTGGATGTCTTCCTTTAAAAAAATGTGTGTCATTTATATTTTGGATTTTTTTGTTTAATTTAAGGTTTTTCTGGTATTTTTGAATGTGTGAGTGATTTATACATTTTCAATATTAAGTCATTATAAGATATGACTTTTAAATATTCTCTCAACCATACACAACTATTTATTTGATATTTATATCTTTTGTAGATCTTTTGTAGTACAGAATTTTTTATTTTTTATTGAAATATAGTTGAGGTATAATATGATATTGACTTTAACTATATAATATAATGATTCATCGTTTGAACCCATTATTAAATCCTCACCCCAACTGGTGCAGTTATCATCTATCAACATAGAAAGATGTTAGAGAACCACTGAATATATTTTCCATGCTGCACTTCAAAACCCCTAACCAACTTATATTTTGATTCAGATTTTGATCCTCTTAATTGCCTCATACTCCCCACTCACCCATACCAACCCTTCCCCCAAGATGACAACCAGTACCTTCTCAGGGTCTATGGATCTACTGCTATTTTGTTCGTTTTGTTTTTAGATTCTACGTATATGTGAAATATATGGTGTTTGTCTTTCTCCTCCTGGCTTATTTCACTTGGTGCTATAAGCCAGTTCCATTCATGTTGTTGCAAATGGCAGGATTTATTTCTTTTTATGGCTGAATAATATTCCTTTGTGTAGATGTACCGTGCCTTCTTATCCATTCATCTCTTGATGAGCATTTAGGTTGCTTCCATATCTTGGCTATTGTAAATAAGACATTAATAAAAGTTTCAACAATGGATACATCATCTAGAAAGAAAAACACTAATTAAACATTGGAATTAAACTAGACCTTTGACAAGTGAACACATAAAACATCTAGCATCAGTAGAATACACAATCTTCTCAAACATGCAAAATTCTGCAGGATAAATCATATATTAGGCCACAAAACAACCCTCAACAAATTTAAGATAATTGAAATCAAATCAAGCAACTTTACTAACTAAAGACACAAACACTGGTCATTTCCATATCATTGCTATTGTGTCAAATGCTGCAATGAATGTGCGAAGGATATCTTTTGGATACCCTGTTTCCATTTCCTTGGATATCTACCCAGAATTGTGATTGATGGATCAGATGGTAATTGTATTTTTAATTTTTAGAGGAACCTCCATATTGTTTTCCATCATTACTGCAACAATTTACATTCTCACCAACATTGTACAAGGTTTGCCTTTTCTCGACTTCTTACCCAATGATTGTCATCTCTTGCCTGCTTACCAGCCATTCTAACACATGTGAGGTAAAATTTCATTTTGATTTTGATTTGTACTTCCCTGATCATTAGTGATGTTGGACACCTTTTCATCATTTGGATGTCTTCCTTTAAAAAAGTGTGTGTCAATTATATTTTGTCAATTATATTTTGGATTTTTTTGTTTAATTTGGGGTTTTCCTGGTATTTTTGAATGTGTGAGTGATTTATACATTTTCACCATTAAGTCATTATAAGATACGACTTTTAAATATTCTCTCAACCATACACAACTATTTATTTGATATTTATATCTTCTGTAGATCTTTTGTAGTACAGAATTTTTTATTTTTTATTGAAATATAGTTGATGTATAATATGATATTGACTTTAACTATATAATATAATGATTCATTGTTTGAACCCATTATTAAATCCTCACCCCAACTGGTGCAGTTATCATCTATCAACATAGAAAGATGTTAGAGAACCACTGAATATATTTTCCATGCTGCACTTCAAAACCCCTAACAGACTTATATTTTGATTCAGATTTCGATCCTCTTAATTGCCTTATACGCCCCAATCACCCATACCAACCCCTCCCCCAAGATGACAACCAGTCCCTTCTCAGGGTCTATGGATCTCCTGCTATTTTGTTCATTTTGTTTTGTTTTTAGATTCTACGTATATGTGAAATATATGGTGTTTGCCTTTCTCCTCCTGGCTTATTTCACTTGGTTCTATAAGCCAGTTCCATTCATGTTGTTGCAAATGGCAGGATTTATTTCTTTTTATGGCTGAATAATATTCCTTTGTGTAGATGTACCGTGACTTCTTATCCATTCATCTATTGATGAGCATTTAGGTTGCTTCCATACCATGGCTATTATAAATAAGACATTAATAGAAGTTTCAATAATGGATACATCATCTAGAAAGAAAAAAACTAATTAAACATTGGAATTAAACTAGACCTTTCACAAGTGAACACATAAAAAATCTAGCATCAGTAGAATACACAGTCTTCTCAAACATGCAAAATTCTGCAGGATAAATCATATATTAGGACACAAAACAACCCTCAACAAATTTAAGATAATTGAAATAAAATCAAGCAACTTTACTAACTAAAGACATATGAAAATTGATGGCAATTATAAGAGGAAACCTGCAAATTCACAAATATATGGAGAACAAATATGTTGTGACAATCAGTGGGTCAGAGAAGAAATCAAAGGAAACTTTAAAAAATTTCAGTACAAATGTAAATGGAAACACAACAGACCACAATTTATGAGATGTAGTCAAAGAGGTCCTGAAAGATGTTTACAGAGATAAAGTCCTACATTAAGAAAAAAGAAAGATCATAAATAACTAACTTTAGACCTCAAGGAACTTGAGCTAAAAAGAAAAAAAAACAGCTCAAGTTAGTAGAATAAAGATATGAGAGGGAGTAAATTAGAGACTCGAATGACAATATAAATATTAAATCTATTAGCTGTTTGGAAAAATGAAAAATTGACTTACCTTTAGCTTGGTAAACTCAAGTAAATAAAAACAGAAATGAAAGAGGAAAAATTAGAACTGAGAGCACCAAAATAAACAGTAGTATAAGCCCTATGAAAACTTATTTTCCAGAAAATTGGATAAAGTAGGAGAAATGAATAATTTTCTAGAAACACATGATCAATAAAAACTGAATCATGAAAAGATAGAAAATCTCAACAGACCAATAATAAGTAAGAGATTGAATACATGAAAACAAAACAAAACTACCAAAGCTGAAAATGGCAGTAATA